ACTGTGGGGTGAGCCGACTGTGGGGTGAGCCGACTGTGGGGTGAGCCGGACGCGGGTTGAGCCGGAGGTGGGGTGAGCCGGACGTGGGGTGAGCCGGACGTGGGGTGAGCCGGACGTGGGGTGAGCTGGATGCGGGGTGAGCTGACTGTGGGGTGAGCCGGACGCGGGTTGAGCCGGAGGTGGGGTGAGCCGGACGTGGGGTGAGCCGGACGTGGGGTGAGCTAACTGTGGGGTGAGCTGACTGTGGGGTGAGCCGGACATGGGGTGAGCTGGACGTGGGGTGAGCCGACTGTGGGGTGAGCCGACTGTGGGGTGAGCCGATTGTGGGGTGAGCTGGACGCGGGGTGAGCTGACTGCGGGGTGAGCTGACTGCGGGGTGAGCCGACTGTGGGGTGAGCTGACTGTGGGGTGAGCCGGACGCGGGTTGAGCCGGACACGGGGTGAGCTGACTGCGGGGTGAGCAGGCTCAGGCCCACGGTAGAACAGCCAAGCAGACCGGGGCCTCTGAACCCACCATCCTGAACTGTCTGCAGTACAAGAAGCATGGCTGCTGGTGCCTTTGCTGAAAGAGAAAAAGCTCACGTCACAGCATAGGGGGTCCCTGGAGGGGGTTTTGGGGGGGCTGGCATTGCTGGGATGAGGAGGGCACAAGGTGCCGAATCCAGGCCTAGCACTGGGCAGACGGATGAGGGCTAGTCCACTGCCAGCCCTGACCCTTCCCACGCACTGGCCACAGAGGAGTGCCCCCCGCTACTGGCAGGGCGCATCCAAGTCCCCAAGAATGTCTGGGGTCCTCACATCTCTCAGGGAAGCGAGAGGTCAGTCCCCTGCCCCCAGGTCCTCTAGTGCAGGGCATCAGATGGCTGAGGGACCCTCTTCTGTCTGAAGGTGCAGCTGGGGGGTGGGGGAGAGACAGAAAAGGGGAGACCCCAGCCCAAGGCGACACCCCTGCTGGAGAGCAGTGAATGAAGGCATAAGACCCAGGACACGGAACGCATGTGGCCCTCTGCCTGTCCACAGCACGCTCGCTGTCGTCTGTGGACAGCACAACACGCTGGACCCGCCCTGGACCTGCTTTACCACCCGGAGCAGACACTGTCCCCAAGCTGGGCTGTCTGCCGATGTCACACCCGCTTCCCTGGACACAGGTTTCCAAGTCTCTCGTAGGCCAGGCCACCACGGGCCATTCAGGAAGCCCCCCAAGCAAACACAAAGCCGGTGGAAAAACTAAGCCAAGCCCTTCAGATCGCCCTCTGAGAGTTCAAGCAAGATGGGGGGCTCGTACCCCATCTAGGAGCCCACCCCCACTGGGACAGCCTGGCTTGGTTACCTCCTGGCTGTGGGAGAGGGGTACATGGCCACGTGCTCAGGGAAGGGGTGGAGAGCGGGGCTCGGGAGACCCACACAGGAGCGGGGTCCCATCACAAGAGTGTGTAAGCTCACGGAACAGTGGGCACTTGCATGGTGACCACCTGGGACCTAGATGGCCTCCTGACTTTGGGGCTAAGTATGCTGACCATGTGTCCTGGCAGAACCAGGAGAGGGGCAGAGAGCCTTAAGGACCGGGGCCTGGCCACCACCTATGTGGACAGCGCTCGGGCCACTCCTGTCCCCACAGAGGAGGACGCAGGCAGCCGAAGACATGCATCTGTGAACCAACCCATGCAAGATGGAGACAGAGCCACACCAATCCTGCCTGGACAGCAGACAGACTCACAGCACGTTCGACCTGCTCACACAGACGCCTGAGAGAGAAACACGTTCACGCAAACCCACGCGTGCACAACGGACACGCTCACAGACACGCGTGTGCTCACAAAGCCACACACATGCAATCCTGCGGACGCACTCTCTCTCTCAGACATGCAGGCTCACGTGTGCCCATGCATGCATGCATGCATGCAGAGCTACACTCCCCATGCACACACAGGTGCAAGTACACGCGTGTGTGCACGCGCACGTTATCTGCAAACATGTGTGTGCACTGCAGCACGTACACACGTCTCTGGGCCCCCAGAAGACCCTGGCCAGCATATGGTCTGTGGGCACACACATCACGGGTGCACACTCGAGCTGTGGTCGCCAATGCGACACCACACAACATGAAGGCCTACGTGACCCAGTCTTGGCCCCATGGTCATCGCAGGTCCAACAGGGACGCCAGCCCAGCCGGAGCCAGGTCCAGAGACCCAGTGGCCATCCCAGGGCACCTAGCCAGGCACACAGCCAGCTGACTGGCCACTGAGTAGGTCGGGGTAAGTGGTTGGCCCAGCCTGCCGCACCATGGTGGGTGCGGGGCTCCTCGGCCCGAGCCGGCTGTGTGCGCACGGAAATGCATTTCACAGCAGGGAGACTGTAATTTGGGAAACACGGCCATGTACCTATTACCTCGGTGCAGGTAAAAGGCCCCGCCTGGCCAGGCAGCAGTTAGCCCCCCTCACAGAACGGCCTCTGCCCTCCGCCCCCACCCCGGTTGCCCACCTCCATTCTGAGCATACCACCTCCAGCCCCTTCCTCCTCCTGCGTCTTTTGTGTGTCCTCCTAGCATGCCACGCTGTCCCTGCGTCTCCCTCCCGGCCACCCTCACCACCACCCACGTCGGCCCGACACCCGGTCTCTGCTCTGTTTTAGGCGTCCACACCTCTGACCTGTCCCCAGCCCCCAAGCCCATGACCCTGATGCCTCTGAGAAATCCCCAGCCAGGTCCCCTCTGGTGCCGAGGCCCAGCTCCTGCCCACTCCATACCCAGCTGATGCCATGGCCGGCCGGCCAGTCCACCATTTAGGGCACCAAATCTGGGCCTCCCAGGGTCACCAACTCCCCGCAGCAGAACCCCCACCTTAGAGTCGACAGGGACCCAGGTTCTTGAGGGAGGTCGGCTTTGTGGGTGAGGTGCTCACCTATCATGAGGTACTGGGGGCACACACCATCACCCTCAGGTCACTCCAAGCAGGAAGTGCCTGAGGGGAACAGAGGAGGGAAGGCCTGGCCCCCACACCAGTAAGGCTGTCCCCTCGGGCAGGTGCTGACTTGGACAGTCGGGTCAGTGGAGGCCAGGCAGCAGGAGGTGACGGAGTGGCCAGCAGAGCCAGGCACTGCACTGCCTTGCTCCCTGGTTGGGGGTCCTACTGGTCCCAAGACCCCACGGCAGGTGGGGACAGCAGGATGCCTGCTGCCCTGTCCTGCTCCGGGTGCTCAGGGGCCTCTGCGTTCCATACTCCCTAGAACAAAGGACGGGCCAGCCGGGGACCTGCCGGGGACCTGCCGGAGCTGAAACCAAAAACTCGGCCCGGGCAGGGCTGCCTGTGGGTCGCGCGACCGCGGCCGGGAAGCACCTTAATCAAAGCCACATGTGACCGGAGGGTGGCTGCATCGCGGGACCAGCTCGGCCGCAGCCCTGGCATCCCTCTGTGATGGTTCGGGGTCCCTGCCCAGGGCACCAGCCTGTGCCCGGTGATGGGGTCCAGGACACTCCCACCCCCACGGAGGGACAACTGGCCGTCCTTGTCCAGAAGCCTGTTTCAAAGCAATCATTTATGCAACTTTGCAGCCACAGCGCGGGACACCAGCTCTGAGGTGGCCCAGCCACAGAGACAGGAAGACGGAGGAGTGACGGTGGGTGCTGGGGTGGAGAGGAGCTGGGAGCCGGACACAGGACCCCGAAATGCAGCTCAACTGGCCAGTGCAGGCGGACTCGGTGTGCCTGGGGGCTTGGCTGACTTCCACAATGCAAGACCCCCCCCCCCAGCCCCTGTCCCACAGGATCCCCTGCCAGCTGGGGCTCTGAGCTCTGGAATGCCTCAGCAGGTCAGCGAGCGCCCAGGAACGGTCACTTCTCAGGAAACTTTTCTCTCCTCAACAAATGAGGGGGCCCAGATACCCCCAACTGCACTGAGTACCCAGCAAAGACCAGCTGAAACCTGGGGGAGGATGCAGGCAGGTGGCCGGGCGGGGCGCCACCGGGTGTGGCAGGCTGGGCACCCGGCCACCTGGGTCCTAGCCCACCTCTGCTCCCCTGCTGTGACCTTGAGCTGGCCCCCTTGCCCCTTGGTGCCTCGGTTTCCCCATCAGCACCAAAGGATGGAACAGAACCCCACCCTGCAGAGCCTCCTGGGGCAGAACCTCACCCCCCCTTTGAGTCTTAATCTCCCGGCATGTGCCAAGCGGGAACTGGGGACCGACCCCTTGGAGTGTTTGTGGGGCCTCAAGAGGGTCACTCTAACTTCCCCAACTTTGTCTGGGGACCCACTGGCAGAAGCAGCCTGCAGCTTCTTGTTCTAGAGGGCACACAGTCCGCTGTCTCCCAGGACCCTAGATGGCAGGAACCTGGCGGGTTCTACAACTCTAAGGTGTTGGGGGACCCTGGGGAGGCTCCGAGCCGTGGGTCCCAAAGTCCGAGAAGAAAAAGCCCAGGGCTCCACGGCTTCTGCAGGACAAGAAGGATCCCGGTCTCCAGGACGCTCGGGGATGCGGGGCCCGGGGCCCCCAATCCCGCACGGCAGCGGGTCGCGGAGCGCCCCTGGGAGCGCGGGAGGCGCGCAAGTCCCCCAAAGTCCCGGGAGCCGAACTCCCCGGGGGTTCCCGCGTAGCCGGCGTCCCGCCGCCCTCCGGAGTCCCCGCGCCGGCGCCGGGTCCCCGGGGCCCCACGGCGCGCTCACCTGGGGTTGCTGCGGTTCCAGTAGACGGCGTAGCGGTCCGAGTTGGCGCGGGCGGCGTCCTCGGCGCGCG